GAGTTTATCACACGGACATTAAAGGGGGCGTAGAAGGCGGGGGAGTTTCGAGGATGGGTAAGAGCAAATCCGGGGAACTGCTATGGTGGGAAGTGGCTACAGGGTATTTTAGGCCGAAAAGAAAGGCTGGATATTAAGTGCAGATCCGGCCTCCGGGTGGCTCTGAGTCTTAGGTTGCCGGTAAGCAGCGGACTTGGAATCTTTAAAACCAACCTCTTTTCTTCCTGTTTTAGGTGTTCAGGCGCTTCGTGGAGGTTGGCCGGGTGGCCTACGTCTCCTTTGGGCCCCATGCAGGAAAGCTGGTGGCGATTGTAGATGTTATTGACCAGAACAGGGTAAGCGTGAGAAAGTGTTTCTCGACCTTTTAGTTAACATGGCAGTAAGTTGGACGGCATGTTAGAGCGTCCTCGGGTGGGGTTCTTTAGGCTAAAGCTTTACCTTTGAGGAAACACTGGACTCAGAGGTCTGAAAGCACAGATTAGAGTTAGCTCATCTTAGATGACCCCTCACCAGATCACCTAGGAAGATGTTTTAGTCACGACCAAAGTGCAGGCGAGCTTAAATGAGGTAACTGTAAAAGGAGTTCAGAGGGGCCGGAGCTGAATCTCTGTAGGTAGAGTGCTTGCTTGAGACCCTGGAGTTGATTCCCAGCCCTGAAGTTGTTAGGTGTGGTGGCTTCTGTAGTCTTAGCCTCTGGAGGTGGAGGTAGGGGAACCAAGAGTTTGCCCCCAGCTTGGGCTGCCTGTCTGAACAAAACACAACCAAGGTGGGACATTGAGCTCACAGGAAGTGTGTTGGCTTTGTTTGAATAGCAGTGTACATTCAGTTCTGAAAAGACCCGGAAGTTTTATAGTTTGGGGCCAACTTGACTTTGAGGTGCCCACCTGAGATCCTTGGTTTTGTCTTCTAGGCTTTAGTGGATGGACCTTGCACTCGGGTGAGGAGGCAGGCCATGCCTTTCAAGTGCATGCAGCTCACTGACTTCATCCTCAAGTTCCCACACAGGTAACACCCTGCTCTGTCCCCCTTTCCCCTTGAGAATATACAGACAATGCAGAAGGTTCGCAAACAGACCTTAATTACTTAAAATCACCCAGTCATTTTACCATCATGGGAGTTGTCCATATTTGCTTTCTTTTCCTTTCCTCTGTTTTCACAAAGCTCAATAAGAATGCCTACTCTTGTTCCCAGAGTCACTTTGCTGTGTTATTACTGCTGTTGGCAGAACAGAAGGAATCGTACCCGTTGCTTCATTCATGCTGGGCAAGCACCACATCGGCCTGTGGTGTTGTTAATGTGTATGCTTTGGTGTTGAGGTAGTTTTCCGCTGTGTAGCCCAGACTTGGCAGTCTTCCTGCCTTGGCCTCCCTTGGTGACGGAGGTAGTGTGTGCTACAATGCCCTGCCTGACAGTGCAGAAATCTTGCCAGTGATTTGATGGACTTGTGGTGTGCCGGTTACTAAGTATTTAACATAAATGAAGGCAACAGAATGGGGTTTTTGGGGAGGGGTGGAGGAATATAAATTAGAACCCTGTCCTGCCTTGCTGTGTGGTTGGTGCACGGAAGCATCCTGTAGTGTGCCACCACAGTAGATCAGTGTGGTTTGGGAGACAAGTGCAGTTCAGGGTGGGTAGTTAGAGTCACCATACACTGGAGTGGTTACAGGGGAGCTAAGGGTAACAGCAGTGATAGAGTTTGGTGGGTAAGAACTTGGCCAAGTTAATTGTGTAATATATACACACTATAAACAGGTGTAAGGAGCAGCTTTTGTTCATTACAAAAGACATGGTTTTATGCACATGTACTATGTAAGTAGTAAATGTGTTCAGAGGTGATTTTCCCTGTCTTTGAAATTCATTTTTTTGGACGTTGTCTAGTGTGCCTGTGTGTTATGAAGACAGCTACAGTTGGGTGTGACAGGAGGGTGGTGCTGTCCTTGGGAGTGTGGCTACAGAGCTGATTCATTCACTAATACGTACTGGTCTTGCTCTTCATAGTGCCCGCCAGAAGTATGTACGAAAGGCTTGGGAGAAGGCAGATATCAATACAAAATGGGCAGCCACAAGATGGGCCAAGAAGATTGATGCCAGAGAAAGGGTAATAGCATAAAGCTTTTGAGTTCTGGGGGGGGGGGTCCGGTGAATGCTGATGAATGACAGGAGAGATCATCTGTATTTATTTTTTAACAGAAAGCCAAGATGACAGATTTTGATCGTTTCAAAGTCATGAAGGCAAAGAAAATGGTGAGTTTTTAGATGTACATTTTGTATTCTATGTAGGGTGTAAGGAGACAGTGGCCAGTCTGATGGTGGTACAGTTGAATTTCATAGTTCTTGAAATTGTTAGTTGGGGCCAGTGAGAGAGCTCAGTGGGTAAAACTGCTCAGGTCAGGGCGCTGGCCTATGACCTGACTTTGAGTGTGGGGACATGGTGGAAGGAGAGAACTGATCCACAGAATTGTCCTTACATCATGCACACACAATAAAGACTGTAAAATAGTATCCTTATTTAAATTTAGTCGTGTGGAAGAAGCATTTTAATTCTTTTCTAAACAGTGGGCATAGAGCAAGTTGTGTGCATGCCTGCCCTGAATGCTCTCGTTTGTTCCCCCCCCCCCCAGAGGAACAGAATAATCAAGACTGAAGTGAAGAAACTTCAAAGAGCTGCTCTCCTGAAAGCTTCTCCCAAAAAAGCACCTGTTGCTAAGGCTGCCATTGCTGCAGCTGCGGCGGCGGCGGCGGCGGCAGCTGCAGCTAAAGTTCCAGCCAAGAAGGCCACAGGACCAGGCAAGAAGGCTGTGGCCCAGAAGGCTGCCGGGCAGAAGGCTGCAGGCCAGAAGGCAGCTCCTCCTGCTAAAGGTCAGAAGGCTCAGAAGACCCCAGCCCAGAAAGCACCTGCTTCAAAGGCAGCTGGCAAGAAAGCATGAAACTGTGCAAAGGAATAAAGGTTCTTTTTGACATGTTGGCAGATCTCGTGTGGACTCAAAGCTTGTCACTGAGTGGGTATTAGAAGACAGGTTGGGGTTGTAAATAGGATCAGTTAAACTCACTCCACCCAGGCCTTAAGAGCATATAGCCACAGTCACACTGAACCTGTATACACAGGTACTATGACAGAACAATGTGGCTGTCCCTTGTACATATACATTATTTCTCACCAACAGGTGGACTTCTATCACTTTGAGTCAGTCTAGTAAGATTCTCTAGAGCTAGTGGGGCTGGGTCATAGCTTAGTGGTAGAGTTTGTTCCTGCCTATTTGGGGGTGGGAGGGTTCTTCCCTTCTCATTGCAGGATTTTGATAATTTTGGACTGTAAAATAAGCTTGCATATTTCTAGGAAAGTTGCAAGGGAAGCTTGATCATTGTAAAAGCAGGACATGGAATCCAGAAAAGCATTCGCAGAAAGTCATTTGTAAGAGAAGTGGGTAGGTCATTTGTAGGATTATTTACAGCAGGCTGGGGATTTTTCAGTCTGTTCTCCAGTGTTGACACCTAGGCAGAGTGGGGTACTGGAATACAAGTCGTAAATGACTTGGGGTAAGAGGGTAGTTCTGCCATTTTAAGCAGCTTTTGATCTGGTTCCACTGCATGAGGTGGCAGATTCCCAGGGTACACCTAGGAAATGGTGCAATTTGAAGCAGTTTGAGTAGCCTTTTAAGAAAGGGGTAGCCGGGTGGTGGTGGCGCACGCCTTTAATCCCAGCACTTGGGAGGCAGAGCCAGGCGGATCTCTGAGTT